AAAAAAGCTCCCTGCCCCCAAATCGTCACTGGATAAGTAGTCAAAAATGTGGTCCAAGCTGGTAACAGGTGCCCTGGGGGTCACCAAGCCAAAGAGTCTCAGCCCCGAAGAACCGGGCTGGAGGAGGTGGCATCTTTTGGGGGCAGAACCTAAGGTGTTGTCAGGGCGGCAGCTGACAAAGCCAGACGTGGAGCACCAAGCCTTGGACACAGTCTGTGCCGAGAATTTTGGATTCGTCCCGAAGGCAGTGGGAACCACGGAAGCTGTTAGAAAGCCCAAGGGAAGTTCGGCCACTGGCCGGCAGGACTTTCTGAAGACAAGTAGACTTTTGGGATTTTTTTTATGGATGAGATGTGACCCCAAGACACAGAGCACTGCATGGTCTCGTCCACACCTTAGTGTCCACACTGCAGTGACCCAGCTCACTCCTCCTCTCCACGCAAAGACTCCCCAGAATTCTCAAAATAATAATCATAGCCAGAATTCCTTAGACTTCATTAGGGAGCTCTGGTGGCCTAGTGCCTAAGGCATCTGACTGCTAACCTGAAGATTAGCAGTTCAAACCTGCCAGCCACTCCTCAGAAGGAAGGTGGGGCGATCTACTTCCATAGTGATACCTCCTGGGAAACCCAAGGAGGGGTCACTATGAGTTGTATCTGACTTGACGGCAGTGAGTTTGGCTTATTGGTTGAGAACCGTTGAGTGCTTCGTCTGTGCAGGCACTACTGTAAGCATTTTGCCTATACAACTCGCTTTATTTTGCCTGAACCTGGTGGCATAGTGGTTAAGGCATTCGGCTGCTAACCAAAGGTCTGCAGTTCAAACCCACCAGCTGCTCCATGGGAGAAAGGAAGGGCAATCTGCTTCTGTAAAGACTTACAGCCTTGGAAACTTTACGGGGCAGTTCTACTCTGTCCTCTAGGGTTGCTATGAGTTGGAATTGACTTGATAGTAACTCAGTCCTCATGACCACCCGATGAAAGTGAGTACTACTATGCAGCCATTTTGCAAATAAGGAAACTGAGGCACAGCTGACGGGCAGTAGAGCCCAGGGAAGAATTTAGTCTTCCGAATCAGCATGGAGGGACCCTCCCCACAATCTGGTCCCAGCCTACCTCTCCATCATGTCCCCTCCTAGGACCCTGGGCACAGCTGGGCTGCGGGCCCTGCCCCTCCTTTCTGCCCCCTGGGGCCCACTCTAAGCTCCTGGCCAACCACGAAGGTCTTTGATCTGCCCCCTGCTAGAACTCAGCCACTCTCAGACACCACGGACAGGACACCATGAGCTTGCACTGGGACTTCCTGTTCCAGCAGGGTACTCTCTCTGACCAGACTGGGATTCCCAGAATTCACTTGGGGGCTGCTCCTTCGGCTTACCCCCACCAACACCCCTCCCCGTCCCAATGAACTCTCATGGGACTGTCATCCTCAAGGGGTGGCGATCCCAGCCATGCCTTCTCACAGCACTTACGGCTTGGGGTTTCCACGGCTTCTCTGGGCTGCTCTCGTCTTCCCAGCATGCAACCTGTGCCTGGCAGAGGCTGCACTCAATGAGGACCCACGCGACGGATGAATGAACCGGACTGTGTCAGAGCAGTGCAATTGACGAAGCACTTTCACATCCATTAACTCTAGGGCTGTTCCTTACCAGTCATCCTCCAGGCAGCTCAGCACGGACGTGGATGTCACAGTGCAGGAGCCTCAGACTCCGTGGACAGGAGAGACACGAACCGGCCGTCCCCAAGTCTTGATCATTGAGGGAAGGACAGTCCTTTCCCTGAGACTGCAACCGTCGTGAAGGCAAGACAGAGTCCTATTCATCACCCCTCAGTGCCCAGCCCACACTGCCACAGAGGTAAAACAGCTGACGCCCTCTCGTGGCACCCCCATGTGTGTTGGAGGGGAACTGCATCCCACACTGTGACCTTTCTGCAGATGGTCAATTCTTTCTTCCCAGGTGCCAATTCTTGCTTCCCGTCACCTGTGGGTATGTCCACGAGGCGAGGCCGGAGTCCCCAGGGGTGGGGAAGCTCAGCCTGCGTGGCAGCTGCCTGGCCCCCGTCCCATCGGCCCACTGCCAGGTTCTCTGCTAACAAACACAAGTTTGTTAGCAAAGAACGGGGTTTGTAGCCCAGCACTTAACTATCTACCCCGCCTAGGAGGTCCTGCTAGATAGCTGGTGCTCTCATCATCAGTTGCCACTGAGTTAATTCCAACTCAGAGTGACCCCATATGTAGAGTGGAACAAACTGCTCTATAGGATCACCAGGCCTGTCTTCCAACACGCCTCCGGGTGGGTTCAGACAGCCACCCGCACCACCAGAGACTCCCGGCAGGTAGGCAGAGTGCAATAAATATTTGTGGACTAGGTTGGATACACCAATGCCGCCTTTGCAGAGACGGGAAAACTTCCTCCTCACTGCTGCTCTCCCGGTGCAGCCCGAAGGCAGAAGTGGAACGAGGTACTTCTGCTTCTGTCTCTGTTATGCTGTGACTTGTAGAATTTTTTTTTTTTTTTAAATCTCAGATCTCTGATGGGAAAAGGTTATTTTTCCTGTCTCACAGAGGGCAAAACGGAAGCCCCAGGAGGCGGGGTGTCCTGCCCTAGTCCCACTGAGTTGCCCAACATCTCTGGATAGAGCATTGAGGGGCAGATTGAGGACATGGTGGCAAACGGGGCGAGGTGCCCACCAACTCCCCAAGAAGCAAGGGAAACATCAGGTCTCCGAGTTCTAAAACCCCAGCTCCCGGTTACCAGCATCATCCCCTGCCTTCCCAAGGCATTATCCTCGCCCTACGACTCTGCCCAAAGCCCATAGCTGCCGCACCCTGACAGGCAACCCCGCAACAGCCACTTAGCTGCTTATTTGGGTGTCCCCAGAACTGCAAAGTTCTACATCTTTCCTAGGGCGGTTGCAGGTTCTCCAAACCAACCAATCACTGACAACGCGAGCAAGTGCAACCGGTCATTCACCTCAATCACCTCCCATCTAGCGTCCTGGGGTGATTCCAACGCGAAACCCTAGCTGTTCAGTTGATTCCAACTCACAGCAACCCTGTAGGGCAGAGTAGAACTGCTTCACAGGGTTTCCAAAGCTGTAAACTTTGAGGAAGCAGACCGCCAGGTCCGCGGAGCTGCGGGGTGGGTTCAAACCCGCGACCTTTTGGTTAGCAGCCCAGGTCTTAAGCACAGCGCTACCAGGGCGCCTTTCGGAGCGGTTAAACCTCCACATTCAAGGAGTCCCGGTCCATCTGAAGGGGACTGCACTGATTTCTGGAAGCGCTCCCCTGCTGGCGTTTTATTCCCAGGTCTGACCCCTGACGTGTGCATCTCCAGGCCCGGGGTCCCCGCCCCAGCTGACCCAGCCATTCGCTCCGGCCCCTGGGTTCCAACTCCCGGGGCTGGGGAGCACAGCTCCACAACGAAACTCTGTTTGCGGGGAGCGGAGCGCCCTCTAGCGGACGCGGAGCGCGGGGTGGGGCCACGCTCACTCTCCTGGGGCGCGCAGCGCCAAGAACACCTGGCCCGACCCACAGCGGACCACGCAGGTTTGGAGACCCAGGGAAGTGAAAGGGATTTCTTTCGGGGGGACGGTGATGGCACTCATGTTTGTTAGCAGAGAACCTGGCAGTGGGCCGCTGGGACGGGTCCAGGCAGCTGCCACGCAGGCTGACCTTCCCCACCCCTGGGGACTCCGGCCTCGCCTCGTGGACGCACCCACAGTGATGGGCGCGCGTCCCCACCCCACCCCCATCCAGTCCCCAAGATCGACCCCAGCCCACAGCCTGGCCCTGGGGTGTCCCTGGTGCCTAGGCGGCCGGCCGGGGCCGCCTGGGGAGGGTGCTCGGGGCTCGGGGCGCGCCCGGGTGGAGGCGGAGAGATGTCCCCGCGGGG